CCTCCTTTTTGCCATTTTTCAATTGTTCTGTAATCAGGATTCGATTTTCGGCGACATACGAAGTGGCCGCGGATAGTTTTTAGTGAACTTCGTTTTACTTATTAAATCCATTATATTTCGTGGTCCGAATGACCAAATAACTTCTTGGGGTCTGCATGTTTGCGTGTATCGTAAGGATGTACGGAGTATCAGTGGTTGAAAGGATTTTAGGCTGGAATGATTGTGTTCATGCAAGTTTTGATATAATGTCGAGCATTCTTTTGAGTGCTTAAATTTGTTGAGGGGATCATAAGGACCGCAATGTTTTTAACGATTTTCGAAGCGATTGGATTCTTTGGTTTGGATACTTGGTTGTACTCTACACTTCAATTCTGTATGTCCAGGTTGGTTTTAATAGGTAAATGTTGAGTTAGTTTGTAGTGATAGTTTTGATCTGTTATCAAGCACTTTTTTTGAATATTTTTGGAGTTCAATGTTAGCTTTTTGAACAGTTTATATCGTACATTCTTTTGAGTCAAGTGTGAGGGTCAAGTAAGTCGATATAAAATCCCAAAATGGCGGACGATATCGGTTGCTGGAAGAGGAATAGAGTTATAGTAGAACCTTGGTTCTCCTTCATTTGAGAAAACCGCCACACACTCATAAATAATTTTATTTTGGATTAAAACAATATCTTGCATTTAAAAGTTGACATGTATCAAAATACTAGAACTAGTTCTAATATCATATCATAATACGGCAGATATATATTCAAATTAGGATATGACATTCAAACAGTTAAAAATAATTGTTTTTAGTGTGCACAATATGTATATCTACATAAATAAAATGGTGTAGAGATTAGTGACCGTTATCGATAGTTATTCAGATATCGAGAGATGCGGTCGGGTGTGATATAGGTTTCAGAAAAACATTTTCTTTATCGTGCCAACGTTTCGATCTTTTATTGAGATCATCTTCAGGGCTCAAAGTGGGCACTCTCAACACGACACGCAAGGATGGCACAATTACACATAAGACAAACACTTTGAGCCCTGAAGATGATCTCAATAAAAGATCGAAACGTAGGCACGATAAAGAAAATGTTTTTCTGAAACCTATATAACACCCGACCGCATCTCACGATATCTGAATAACTATAAATAAAAAGATCACACATCTTAGAGAAAAATAGTTAAAAAACCAGAACAATTTGTTAGCCCGCTGATTTCAAGGTTGTGCTGTCGAATTCACAATTTCCAATTTTTCCAGGGTGCTGCGTCAGTGTAATTGCAGTTTATGAAAGGAAATGGGTATTTGTAATTAGGGGTCCGACCCACCCCATTGCCTTTCGCAACTCGATTTATATTTCATACCCTCTCTTCATCTCATTCCATCCATAATATCTTCATTTCCATATCTGCTCACGGCTATAGACGAAATATCGAAAAATTGCGTTAATTTATTCAATTCGGAATGCAATGAATCAAGTTCGTTGAAACTAAAAACTATAATTACACAAAAACGACAGAACATTAAAAAACAGATAGCATTATAACTTTACCTAATTAATTAATTGGCACGGTGTTTTCAAAGCTTAAACTTAGCATAACGAGCTTTTAACCGTTAAGAGTAATCCGTAACGTCTAATGAGGCTTAATGATAAAGTGTAATTTGAATGTACATAATATAGAAACGAGCGAGAACGCTAATTAGAGAGGTATTCTGCTCGAAATGCTACAATTGCATTTCGGCAAACATCAACTGAATCCTTTGCCTTTGAAGCACGTACATTTCCATTGTTTTACCATGATTTACGACCTCACTGGTTATGGTTTTGATCATTTTAACGCTTTTGACTTTATCAAACATGGGTCGGAATAGGAAAATTTTTGACAACAAAGGAAGTTTAAAAAAAAAGAACTTTTATTGATTTTTTGACTTGAAATGACTTTTTAACAAAAAGAAATAGTAAAAGTGAAATGATTTTTATACCATTCGAAATACTTCATTGTTTGTTCATTCCTATTCTTGATTTATCACTGTGATCTGCCAGTTGGTCAATACATTTCCCACAAATGTTTGTTTAAAAATTGTCTCACTGTACATTTTTAAATTATTACATGAATTACTTTTCTATGTAAATCAAAGAAGTTTTAAAAGAGTCATAATTGAAAAGTTAAATAATAATATGATAGTTTAAGTATGAAAAAGGGAATTAAAACGAATTTACGACCATATATATATTACACAGGGCGGGCGACCAGGACCCGAGGGGTTAAAAGCCTGAGTAGGCCCGTACCCCATCCCTAGAAGGTCCGGGACCTGGTCGCCCATACGACCATACAAAATGCGTTTTCTTTAATAAGTTTATATTTTCTGCTTGAAATATTTTGTATATGCATATATAATTAAAAATGTATAAATATAAAAAGTATTTTCTTTGAACATGATTATTGTAGTGTTAGATAATAAATATAATAAATTCAAGATAAGATCATGGATCGACCTGCAGTTGAACAACTTGGGAAAAAATCTTCAGTGAGGTCATAACAGAACGACAATTTTGTAAGTTTTTGCCAAACTTTCGACGATTATATCGTCATCATCAGGGCTTTAACTCGATGAATGTTGAAATATGTCTTGAGAAAAAAAAGTGCATTTATAATAAGATTATTTAAAATTAGGTGAAGCTCAGTTCGGTTAAAAATATACATATAAGTATGCCTCTTTTCTTATTTTTTTCAGGTAGATTTGGATATCACAGTTTAGATTAATTAAGCATTTTTTTTAAATGTATAGTATGTATGTATAATAGATTCACTTGTAACGGGACAGCCACCCTAGACTCATGTCTCTCCCTTGTGGTAGAAGTTAGCACTGTAATTTATCTAGTTCCAAAATTCCACTCTTATATATTTTACATATATTTTTTAGCTAATTAGGCCGAAAGGAATTCAATATAAATAGCACTCCCATCTCGGCTAACAATAAATTAAATTGATTTTATTACGTTTCTAAAGTCGGATGATGTATAGACCTCGGTAAAACGATAATGAAAGAAAACGTCAATTTTTCTGTAGATAAAAAGAAAGAATTTGAATGTTCTTCCTTTTGGTAGAAGGTGTATTGTGCGGCGTATCGGGCGGTGGAAGATAACGGGCTAGTATGTTCTTGTGCTTGGCGGAGCTATCGAGGATTTATCAGTGGGCTCCCGTAGGATATGACAGTTATCGGGACTGGGATAGCGTTATTTATGCCCCGGTCGACATTACCCATTTTTTTTTCTTTTACTGCTTTTATTCAATTTCAAAAGAAACACCCCTTCCTCCCTCGGTGAATATTGTACCAAATCACGAAACGGCTCGTTTGTCTCGGTTTCAATCGGGAAAACTTGTAGAAGTGAAATTAACTTATCAAATATTTTATTATATCTATTAGAAGTTTATTTCTAAGAATTTTAATTTACGAGGGTTCACAACAGCAGAGGTCATATCAATCCTCGGGGTGTTCATGTTTATGAAAACAATCCCGTTTGTAAGTCAGACTGCTGGAACTGAGACCGTTGCGGCCACCGACGCTCCTCTAAGGATTCTCTTTAAAGATCAAAGATTTTGTCAGCTGTTTTTAATCTTGAAAATCTTCTGTAACTCTTAAACCATTTTTGTGAATTTAAAACATTTACACAATCCGTCTGAATTTTATGTTCAAAGCACTATCAGATTGTGTAACAGTAATGAGGACATATTAATTTACTAGGAAGGATTGCGTAAGATACATAAAATAAATTAGATAGAAATATTTAAAAAACATTATGGAATAATTCACTAATTTTCGTGGTCCGCTTAACCAATTAATATCTTTCAATTAATTAAGGTTTTTAGTTGAGATAAAAAAATCAGTGTCACGAGTGGGATTCGAACCCACGATCTTCGGCTAGATACGCGTGAAAAATGGCAAAAAGGCGGGAAAATTCAAAAGGTGGGGTTGAGATGGGACCGAATCGAGTGGATCGAAGTCACGATGGCTCAAGTGGTAGAGCAGCTGCGTATTTAGCCGAAGGTCGTGGGTTCGAAACCCGCTTTGATCAAGCGGACCACGAAACTTAATAAAAAAATAATTAAAATGTTCGCAGCACGAACTCAGAAAAAAGTAAATTTTTTTAATTATCAAAATTAATGAAATCTTAAATTATAAAAATTATAACATAACAATTATATTCTGGTGAAAACATTTCCTTTAAAAACCCAGTCATGAGGGCAATTTTATCGTATAGGTCAATTTTCATATTGATCAGTTTCAAAGAATTTATTTGGTCAAGTGGACCACGAACCCTAATAAAATGTAATAAGAAAAATAAGTATACTTCACTAAAGCTCTCCGTGGCCATTTCATTTCGTCGCCGAGAATCAAATAGATTTCACGACATTTGAAAAATGGTAAAGGAGGGAACATTCAAAACGGTGGCGTTGATATGGGAAGTTGGTGTCCGAGTGGATCAAGGTCAAGATAGCTCAACTGGTAGACCAGCGGTGTATTTAGCCGAAAGTCGTGGGTTCGAATCCCGCTTGTGACACTGACTTTTTTATCTCCCCCAAAACTTTAATTGAAAAGATTTTAATTAATTCATGATGGAATTATTTTTATAATCACTTTTGTATTGTTCTGTAATATAGCATACAAAAGATTTATAAATTTTGAAAAATTAATTATAAAGTTGAATTTTTTATATTAATGGTTAATTGTTCAAATCGTAAAATTAAGACCGCTTTGTTTTTTAAAAATATTTTTACTTTTGTAATTTAATGAGCTTCTAAGGTCTAAGGGAAAGTTAGTATAGCGATTTTTGTATAAATTGCTCTTTGGTTTCAATAGTTGGAGTTAATTTTGCACGAATTTTAATCTGTTTAATGTTATTTCTTATTAAGTATGACATAATTTTATAAATAAATTAAACCATAGAATCGGATTGAAATATTCTTGAGAACGTTGTAATAAAAATATAATAAATAGAAACGAACTTGAAGTTTGTACAAGCGCTTACTTAATATATTTACTCATTAAATATTGAGATTTTTTTTTGTATCAGACAGTAAATATGGGAGCTTGAATTTATTTGGTTTTTGGTTTAACGTACATTACTTTGGCATCAACACGGCACTCTTTAGGGACAAAGGACGACACGTTTTCCATGGTAATATCAGAAGTCGAACGTCCGGCTTCTTGCAAAGGTAGACATGATTTGACGTAACTGGCTTTCGGTACAAATTTGTAAGCTTTTTTCTTTTTCGCAGGCGCGATCTTGGCATTAACTTTGACATAATTTTTCACGTTAGTGGATTTCTTTTTCGTTCCGTCTGAACGTAGAATATAGAATTTGCACATTTTTAAACAATGCCAGATCTGGTTGAGTTTCTCTCTCCAAACGTCTTCCTGTGAATTGCACAAGTAATAAAAAATCATTTCCTTGAAGCCTTTTTTGGCGTCGTGAATATAGTCGTTGACGTAGTTTCTTACTTGATTATTTGCAAGATCGGTTTTTGCGAAGGACTGTTCCACAGCTGAGAGAACAAAGTGAGGCATCACTATATCGATGATCATACATATCTGGTCGAAGACGAAAAGTGGACTGTAATTCGTTGCTTTCTTTTTTAAGCCGTTCGATGGATCGGGCTTTCTGTCATAATTTCTAGCACGTATTCGGCTCAACTTTATATCATCTATAAAGCACTTTCTTTTACTCTTGTTTATTTTATGCCTTTTATTCACATTTATCGTTTTGGTCTTTTTATTCGTACTCTCCGAATCCCGTTTGCGTTTTTTATACTTTCTTTTCTTTTTTATAGCCGAACCAGTGCGGAGTTTTTTCCTGCTCTTGTTGTCTCGGGATTTAATGCCCGTTTGGACATCACGACTGATCTTTTTTGGGTTATGCTCTGAGATCGACTTGCTCGTATCATTTGACGTCTTCGTGTAACTTTTCTTTTTAATTACTGCCGATTTAGCGGTTTTGTGCCTCAACGGAGCCCGGAAAGAAGCATTTAAATCGGCCTTTTCGACATGGGACACTACGAAGTCTTTGTTTTGTCTTCTGGTCAGTCTACGATTGGAGGCGTTACCCGTGGAATCCGGCGTCGGTCTTTCACCCGCAAAGTCTACCTTCTTCTTTGCGGTATTTTGGCAATTAATTCGACGTTCATTATGAAATTTACGATCGATGCAATTTTGGCGAAGTAGCTTTTGAATGACGTGGACAAACTTGAGTATAGGCTTACATAATTTACCAACAAGCATCCTTTGTTGCAATACACAGCAGGAAACAAGTTGCTATGCTTTATTACCTGTAACAATAAATATAGTTATTTTCCTTCTAATATACTGATATACAAATATAATAAGTATAAAATATAAGTAATACAATATAAAGTAAATAGTTCTGCCCATAAATTCCGATAGATTAATTATTGCAAGATTTACAGAGTTTTATATACAAGTTTTTAGTCACATTCCACTTTTATCTGACATTTTGGCTGTTCTTATATTTCACACGATTGTGTTAAATAAGATTCGATTTATTGATCATAATATTTTAAAAACAAAGATCAATAGTATTGAAAAAAAATTATATATATATATATATATATTTATTTAGAAATCGTGAGATGCGGTCTGGTGTGATGTAGGTTTCAGAAAAACATTTTCTTTANTATTATATATATTTTTTTCCTTCTGCCAATGAACTTCCAAGATATACTTCCAAGAAATGGAAATCTGGTCTCCGTTAAGTGATGAAAGATGAAAATGATTCCTTGGACAGCTCTCTTACTTTCCTTATACTGAGTGGTAGTATAAAAAATCTCTCTAAAAAATAATAACAACTCCATTGATGTTGTGATATTTGGGCAAATTTCAAAAAGCAACATTTTTGAAGTTTCAAATAAATAAAGTTACTTTTGGTCAATGTAGACAACCTGATGCCACCACTAGATCCTATAAAGGATACAATTAAAAAATATGTGACAAGAATAGCTTAATTTTGATAGGACATTGCAGACTAGAGTTTTAAAGGGAAAAATTTAAGAAAGCAGCTGGGTATTATACCCTGATATGTAGGTCTAAAGTGAGGAACTAGGCTGGCTTAGAAATTAGAGAGTCCGAAGTGTACTTGCCACGATAGTATTTGGTTAGAATCAGTCCATGGAATTTTATTTAATAATAATATGTTAAAGGTATTATAAAGCTGTTTGATTCAACTGGTCTTTGGATGGCAAGCCCTCCTCTATGACAGAAATTACTTTGCTTTAATTAAAGTAAAAACTTTATATCCAAAATGAAGAAACCAATTTTTCTTCAGAAAAAAATGCATATCATAAATCTACCTTTTAGAGATCCATCTGTCTACAGGTATTACTCAAAAAAAGATCAAAAATGAACAGAAACTCCCAGACAAGAAGCACCATTCATGACCATGATCGTGTATTTTCAGTTCTAGTTTGTCTGAAATTGTAGTTTGATCTTCTCCGATTAACCTGATCCGCTAATTTTGCACGTCAGACGATTTTCGGCATCACTTAGAGAATATTAATTTACACGTTTATCATGTAGCAGACCGCATGGAGGTGCAGATAACTAGTTCCTGTGTAGAAACAATAAGGCGACCCGGAAACTGTCTACCCACCTAAACATCAATTAAGCACAAAGTGCGAATTTTTAATTGAACAAATGTTTTTATTTAACTCTTGTGTACATACACATTATGCTTTGCTAATAAATGGGTGACGACAAAATCTGATTAACAGGCCACAATTGAAAATTAAAAATTGACTAGATGGATAGTTGTTCGAAAGTCAATCAATATACTTTAATGATTTTTTGTTCAGTTTAAATATGTGGTATACCTGAGATAACAGTAAAAAAGTAAATTCATGTATGTAAAAATAATATGAAACCCGTTTTGTGAGAAAGGGGTCAGACAGATGAAAATTGATTTAACATCCAGGAAACTGCGAAATCAGGATATAACGTGGATATGAAGCTAGAGGTCATTTGGTTCAATTCGATCTGGATGGGGATGTCATAGCACATTAATACCCCACTCGTTGTACTTTAAGAAATTGCCGCATGTTCATTTGGCTCCATCCACAAAGATGTTCGTCACATATATCCAAGGAAATTATTCACCCAAGGGTTACCTAAAAATTGGAGTACATTATAAAGGACGGTGCTACCCGGATATGGTTGGTCTGAGGGGGTCTCCGTTATTGGGCCGGCACTGGTTTGATAAACTAATGTTCCGTATTGTGGACCGTTCAGCCCAAGCACTTTTTTCCCAGAAGGATAGTGATGAAATTTTTGAAGAGCTAGCCTCATTGTACCCATAAGTGTTTAATCCTAGACTAGGAAAGTTTAATAATGGAAAAATAAAGTTGAAGTTAGTTCCTGATGCACCACAAAAATTTCTAAAAGCTCGCAACGTGCCCTATGCAGGTATATGATTGGTCAAGGAAGGAAGTCTAGAGCTCATAGAATTTAGCCCCTACGCGACACCAATTGTCCCAGTGTTAAAAAAGGCTGGTTATGTTAAAATTTGTGGAGATTATAAACTGACCATAAATCCTTCACCAAAAATGGATCAACACCCTATACCACGGATCGAAGTTCTGTTCCAGTGAATTGGTGGGAATCGAATATTTGCCAAAATGGACCTGTCCCATGCATATCAACAGTGTGAACTGGAAGAGAGCTCAAGAAATTTGGTAGCAATAACAGCTCAAAAAGGTCCGTTCAGGTGCACTATGCCTGGTGGATATGGGATATCTCCAGTGCCTGCGAATTGTCAGAAGATTATTGATACACTACTGTGAGGCATGGAGTGTCAGCACTGTTGGACGATGTTTTTGTGGGACCCAAATCAACACCCGAACTAAAGGAACGGATCGTCCTGGTGAGAGAGGAGGCCAGTTCGCCGGCATATTGCTGAGATGTAAAGGGGAAATATGTACATAGATTGACTGAACATTTAAAAATAAACATATTGCTTAGTTACTTAGGTTTGTTGTATTAACTATATGTATAGTTCTATGGGTGTTATAAGAGCGGAAAAGCGTGGTATACCTGAGATATCAGTAAAAAAAAGCATGTAATCCTATAAATGAATGTAATAAATATTTCTAATCCAAATTTCATAAAATAATATTGAAAAAAAATAAATATAAATTAAAACCTAATAAAATTATAGGAATGGCATGGAGTTTAAAATGTTGGGGGAAAACCTAGTATTTGACTAATCTAATGTTAAAGTAAGGCCCCAGGAAAAAAAATTAATTGATTATTTATTTCTATATTTATAATGTAATTATATATTTAATATATTTCAATAATGTAGCTGTTAATTTTTGTGCCAGATTTCACACGAAAATTCCGCCTAAAATTAAGTTAAAAAAATAAGGGAGATTTACCATATGACAAACAGATTTTATCCGTGGTTCTTTGTGCTGATTCCTTATAAACGAGCAGTTTTTTTAAAATACTTGTAAATACTGGTATTATTCCAATTTAATGGAATCTTCAAGTTCGTCAGTACTGAAAAGGAACAAAAATTGGTTTAGTCTTCGCTTTCACACACTTGTGCGTTGTCATAAATCTAAAGTAAGGCGATTTTGTTTGCTAATGAAACTGAAAAGGAGATAAGCTTGCAAAGGCTTCTTTTGAAGAGTTAAGTGTTGGAAGCGTTTTTGACTTTTTCCGCTCTCCAAGGAAAGATAAATGGCGGTGAAGAGGCTATTAATTACGGTATCTTTAAAAAAAAACTTACTTCCTTTCTTTCTCCGTACGATCTCTTTTCATCCCAATTTGATGTAAATTTTTGTTTACGCAAATACTGGACAAAGGGATGAAAAACTTGAATCCTCGAAATATTAACGGCAGGGAATTGCTCATTTGTTTTGTTTACTGTTAACAACAATTTTAAACTTTGCAATTGTTAAAAACTGAAATTTTCAAAACTTTTCAAAAGATTTTTTTTTTAATTTTGTCGTGAAGCGTTTTTTTTTTTCGAATGACTTTAGTGTATTATGTACGAATTGGAAATAAAACTATAAATAATAAAAGCTGATTTTGTAACATTTTATTTTAGCCTAGCATATGTAATTTAACGTTTTTATTCTGATCCTTGTGCACCTATATCTGTACAGTATTTTAGCGGTGATTTTGGACTGATATGTGCCAAAGACATAATGTGTTCATAAAATATGGCGATTCTGCTAAATAATCAATAAATTTTGCTAAACTCATAATTTTCCCGTTCTTCTCCGTCCGACTTGTAACCTTTACATTGGTTGTGGTACAAGTCGAAAAAGGTAAATATTCAACTACGCGATATGCCAGAACAAATATATACTAATGTATTTGAAAGGTAAAACTTCAAAAGTAACATTAAATACTTAATATTGATTGATTTATATGTATAATCTCAACTTTGCACGACATACATATATATACATCGACACACACATTTGGGTTTATGACTTTTCGCGGCAATCGCCCTTAAATCACCTACTTCGGGTTTTGGCTCCAGGGTCAGACTTGGTGGACTTATCGGGCTCAGAAGCTAGGTCATTTCAAACCTCAAAAGCTAGGCACGCCCACACTTCCATTTATTCGTAAACATATTTTTCCTACGTACATAACATTCACTCATGTAGGGTACTACTCTCCCACTACGCATTCAAGCTAATAAATGCATTCAATATCAATGTACACAAAAAGAATAACAACTTTGTGTGGGGAGATTTTGAAATTTCCCTTCTGTAAAAGTGATATGTTAAATAGATAATGTCTTGATAGATAAATAAATAATATGTTTAATTTATTACAAGAGGGATCTTGACTTGGCAAAACTAACTTCTAAGCTGTGTTTTGTTTCTTATTGATTAGGGACATTCTTGTAGTGTAGAAGAAAAAACTACAAATAAAATAACGAACTTTTAAGTTTAATTAAGTCTAAGTTTAATCAATGATTACTGATTTATATAAACTCAGATCTGCACATGCATGTAAGTGTCTGCAAGCATACACATGCACAGAGTTGAGCCTATCACTTGTCAAAGTCTACCGGAAATTCCGGCTTTTTTGATTTACAATAAATTACCAGTGTAGAATCACCCACCCTGCTTTGGGTCAGACATCGGTCCTACCCATCCAGCCACCAAATTTGGCTCCAAGGGCTATCAACAGCTAGGTCATTTCAATGATGCAAACCCATTCACACTCTTACCACTCTTAAATCTGGGCATCACACTAGATAAAACACTGACATTTAAGAAACACATCGGCTCTGCCAACACGAAGGCGACGTGAGCTTTGATGGTTGCAGAAGAATTGCAGGGACGTACTGGGGATGCAGGCCGGAAACCCTGCTATGGATGTACACCATGATAGTAAGACCTATATTTGGGGGCTGATAAAGCAGAACAAGTAACTAAAAGAAAATAACTCACAATAATACAGAGACTTGCATGCATCTGCATAACGAGAGCAATGAGAACATGTCCTACAATTAGCATGGAAAAAGTACTGGGATTAATCCCGCTACACCACATGGTAATAAGGACAGCGCAGAAAACCATCATTAATTTTACCAAAGAGAATCCTCCAACAGGAATAAAACTAAAATGGAGAGGTAGCAACAAACTATGGAAAGACCATCCGATACTCATGGCTCCGAGAGAAGATATGAGCAGGATGTTTAAATTTAATCAAAACTTCCAAATAAACCTAGGTAATAAAAAGAATGGGAACGAGAGGGAAACACCTCTTTTAAGATTGGCACCATCCTTTGGTACACAGATGGATCACACAAAAAGGTACAGGGGCAGGAGTATTTGGACCTGGAACCAAATACTCAAAACATATGGGAAAATACACGAGTATCTTCCAAGCTGAGATGCATGCAATCGAAAGATGTACCCAACTCAACCTGAGTAAAGGGTATAAAAACAAGAATATAGCTATCATGTCAGATAGTCAAGCAGCCATCAAAGCACTAAGCTCAAATATCATTAGGTCAAGGATGGTGCTGAACTGCAAAACCAAACTAAACATATTTGGTGTGCAGAATAAAGTCAGCCTCTGCTGGGTCCTAGGACACGTGGGAGTAGAAGGCAAAGAGAAAGCGGACACTCTTGCAAGGCAAGGACCTGCTATACTGCTGACAGGACCTGAACCCTTCTGTGGCGTTGGAACCCACACTATTAATGAGTATCTCAGACAGAAGGACAAAAAGAAAATGAAGGAACTATGGAATTCTCTCATTGGACACAGACAATCCAAGAATCTTCTAACCAATTTTGGAAGGAAAGAAATTACAGAATGTGTCAAGGGAAGCAGGAACAAACTGCGAATCCTAATAAGATTCCTAACAGGACACTTAAAGAAGATGGGAATAATCCAAGATGGCACATGCAGATTCTGCAAAGAGGCAGAAGAGACACCAACACATCTACTAACAAACTGCGCAGCTACACTAGCTCGCAGGAGGAAATGTTTTGGGTCGTATAATGTGTCCATAGAAGAGCTTCAACCAGTGAAACCTGGCCTATTAATCAAGCTTCTTGATGAAATAGGACTCACCGATGTGATTTAAGCAGAGTACGGGTGATACAATAGCTCTTACAGGGCGCAGTATACTATACCTTAAAAAATTACATCTACATCTACCACTCTTAAATACGTCCTTTCCTATTTACATGCCATTCTCTCAATTAGGGTGATGGAGTACTTGATATTTCCCCATCACTCTCTCCAGACAATATATACCTAATCGAATTGAGGGTAGATGTGACAATAAATAGACAATATAAACAATAAAAGTCCTGTTTCCTCCAAAAATCAGATCCGATGCTCTCTGCCATTCGAATTCTCGAGTAGCATTCCTATATGGAACCAAGGAATGACACCCTCTAATTAAGAGGGACACATAGAGCAAACATTCTCTGCTTGCCGGCACATATGCGGACTTTGGCACAACAGTAAGTGTCTGTTTGTCAACCTCGCATGGCCTACGCTTAACTGGGTGAAGATGACCATTTTCCTACGAGTCAGATCCTCCGAGGTCCACCCTTCGGCATCCCTTGATACCTGACATCTAGACCACCGACACAGCCACTTTCATGTTTTGAAATGTATTTTCCGTCAGGGCGCCGGATCGCGGTGGTTAAGTCATAATCAATTATCACAGGCTTTAGGCTTATATTTTCTTAATTTTGTATAAAAGAAAGATCAGGAATAAGGCAAATTTGAAAGAAAGAAACCACGAGTTCTTTGGTCAGACTTTTCCATATGTAAATAAATATATGTACATTTAAATAATAGTTTTTTATCTGTAGTTACCCCATTATTTAACATATTCTGTCTTATTTCACAACTATCGTAGCCGATTTTCTGTGCATTGGTTTTAGGTTTACACCTTTTGCAAAAACTGCTCATAGATTTTAAACCAGTGTTTCAGATTTTTAATAATACAGCTGATACGATATGACGAACTGTAGAGAGCGATGTGTGTTTTCTGGTAGATTATGGGATTTATGTTAAACGGAAAACAGTAAAGGGCCTAAAAGTGATTATTGGGACACTCCAGATGTAGTTTTGAAAGGTGCGGACCGGGTTCATTCATGGAAAATTAGAAGATACTATTTTGTTAGATATGAGTGAGAATAATAATTTGGAAATTTATACTTTAGAAGTCTGTATTTCCGTATGCTTTTTTTTGTTTTGAATGATTTACATTGAACGTTGAAATACGGATAATAAATTCTATTCGGTTTTGTACGAGTGCTCTTGTAAATCAATTTTAGCTAACTAGTTATCTATTGATTGAACAAATATAATTAAAAAGGAAATATGTAGTTGGTATTGAATATTTGGTTTCATTGCGACATATTTTTAATGCTCTTTCTTCTTAATTTTTAAAGGTGATTTACGACAACAATTTAAACAATTGTCACTTAACTACTTGATATTAAAATGTTAATTTGGTCACCTCCATAAAGTTACAAGGAAAGTTTTGAGAGATAAAACGGAAAAAGGGTTTTTTGCAAGGGACAAACAAGGAAGTGTTAACATTTTATAAGGGATCTTTAAAACTCCTCGGAATTGATAATTCAAAGCAAAAAAAACAGATAGGAAAGTTAAGCCGGGTTGGACGAGTAGGATGGGGGTCTCTATAAAAGCCAACAGCGCTTAGGTATATCGATTTCGTAAATCTAACTTTCCCTTTTCATATGTTTGATGCTATGAGCCTATCTTCTCTTTGTCAAATATTTTCAGTTTTATTTACATAAATCTCGTTCTGAACCGATTTTGTGCTTTTATGTCAACAATCTCAAAAGAAATTTCACCAAATTGGCCTTCTCTCGCTTTCTCTCTCTCTTTTCAATCTGTAAAGAACGGGTATCTTGGTTATATGCACTAAGAGTTTCTTCTAGTGTTTCTAAGGAATGTATTTAAACTAGAAGCTTTTGTCGGGAGACTTTCAGGTCACCTCCCCTGAGCTCACATTGAAACTAGAGTGCACTACATATTATGCAAAGGAGCTTCACATTTCTGTGGACATGAGTTCAAAGTAATTTGAACAATTCTTTAATTGTTCTACGCTTTTAGGAAGGGGACTCGTTTACATATCGTAAATTAATACTACTTTCATCCATTTAATTATACACTTTTGTTTTAATTATCGTATAGTTAATTACACGGTTAAGTAATAATATAAGTTAAAGGATGCCAAGAAAATAAATTTAAAAAATTAGAAAGGCCCTGAAAGAGGGACATGGTTCCACCCTCTCAATTAAGACTCAATTATACTTATTAGGGTGGTACTCCCCTTCCTCGCACTCATTTCCACTTTAGTGCCACGATTAGCCGAAATATAAAGCAAAAGATAATTCCAGTTGCAATCACTTTGCGCAAGAATGTATGTGTGTGTCAATTAACTAATAGTTTTGTATTTCTTTTTGTTACTGTACAGGTGCATGTAGCTGAGCCATGGGAAAATCCGACAAAAGGACGGGGTCACAAAGAGAAGGTAAATTGATATTTTATATATNATATATATATTGTAGAAGTTTGTTAAGAAAATTTCCCAAACTTCTAAAGTTGTAAATAAATTAAAATGGACTTATTTAAAATTCAGTGTCCTGTTTTACTCCTACTTAAATATTTACGAATATTAAAACCGTGCACATATGTTATAAATTATGTACGTTTTGTATGTTATAAATTAAAATAGTTTGTTTTTAAACTTTTTCTTGTTATTCTGGTGAAAGGTTTTATTTGGTAACATAGAGTCGAACTTCTACAAATCTTCTAGATCATTTTTGACTAATTAAATGCATGTTTTCCAGCAAATTTATGGTATTATTTCTGATCTGTCATACTTATAAATGAAAAATGACTGCCAAGATTCGATTTATTAATCATAATATTTTAAAAACCAAGATCAATAGTATTGAAAAAAATTTTATATATATATATATATATATATATGTACAGGGTGTCCAAGTTAAGGTGCCCACCCCATTTTTTTAAAAAGGTAATTCGGTGAATGAGTCTTGGGTAAGATCAGGTATTGGTGGAGGAGAAAAACGATACAAAATACAAAATTTATGGGATTTGGCAGGAAATTTAGTAATCTTTTAGTCTTTTCTCTCTACTTTGGCTGATTTTCCACTCCTCTTCAAAATATTTGCAGTAGAAGGCAAAATAAAGTGGTTTCGACCTAACGCACTAGAATAGCATTTTCAAAAAATCATATCTCCGGTTCTATTGGACCGATTTTAATAACTCAGTGCTCATTTTTCTCCCGAAAAAATCTAGTTTCAAAGAAAACTATGAAAAATGGGGGTTCTAGTTTAAAATTAAAAATTTGAATTCGACTTATGTCGAATCGAGGTCGAAAAAAATAACCGACCTTACGTGAACAAACTACAAGAAAATGAAGGGGTCTCAATTCAGACGTTTTTCCTATCTAGAACCGCAAAGAAATCATTTTATATATATGATATATATTTTTTCAATATTATATACATATATAAAGTAAATTGTGAGAATGGCCAATTTTTTGGCAAATTTATTTTTCTGCGCTATGACGGAATTACTATAAATTATTTGTTATTAATTTCGGCATGAACAAGAGGAAATGTTTTTAATAAATAATAACCCTGCCGAAGCTAACTTATTGTTTACCTTGGAGCGTTTCTGATCAACCTCAGCAGCCTGGTTAAACTCGTACCCCATTGATTTGTAAGGGATTTGCTGAACCACAACATTTGTAAAGTTAGAGCTAATAGTACTGATCTGAGTTATAATTTGCTAAGTAGGTCCTTTTTTGTATAACGTTACCTTCACGAGTAGTTGAAGCAATAGAAAAAGTTAAACGTTTGAAATCTACGGTACATCATTGTTTCCACCATTACTTTCGGACTTTGTACAGCAAATGTTTCGGTTTCGAGAATGAACATTAAATTTTAATTGCGTATTACTGTAGTGTTTAAAGAAAGCAATGTTTGTTCCATATGTGGGTTGATGATAGCGCGACATCAGGGTTATAAGCAGGGAGAAACAAGACGACTCATCACCCGTGACAAGTCGCCAACGATTCGCATTGTTTTAATACATATGATTTTTTAAAAAAGAAGACAAAAACGTATTTCGCTTTTAAATTTCTATTCTATTCTAAAATTCTGAGAATAAAACTCAATCATTAGCCCTTCAATCTGGACAGAAATCAAAGTTGCAACCTTTATTTTCTTGTTTTATTGTTTGCTTTGAGCCTTGAAAAATTAATTATTCGTTAATTTTTCATAATATTCGTGGTACCAAGTTTCCTAATATTTCCAATCCATTTTATACCATGTTATACAAACCATATACGTAGTCAGATAGAAATATCACAACTCGAATGTATAAATTAATGTAAAATTTCCCTTTTATTGCCACAGAATAATAAACGATCGTGTAGATTAGACCGGAATCGCACAGTATGTATAAATGAAACGATCTCGAAAGGACACATAGTTGTAGGAATGAATAGAGAGAGTTTCAAAAGGAGTGGGAGCATGTCTAAAAACAGGAGTAGGCCTGACAGGACTAAGTAACAAGTTGATACATCCCGCGTGTGTTGAAGCACCTTTCAGCACATTCTCAATGAAAATTAGCTTGGGAAATTATTCAGCTACTACAGCCTTTTGCACTTATTACCTTGTTGATGTAATATTTCGACTTTTCCGTTTTTATATGATATAAAATAATTTCGTCCACTCCTTATAGAAATGTTTAACAATTTGTGTTAAAAACAAATTTCCGCTGTTAGAGGGAACAAAAGAAATAGGTTCCCTTGCTATAAACGGTGCTATAAAAAGAAAATACTACAGTCATATTACTGTGACAAATCCCTTTATAGGTTTTCATCACGAATTCTTATTTTTTACTATATTTATTTATTATATTGTGTTCGAAAATAAATTGTTTCGTATTGAAAATATTAATAATATAAGTCCTTAGAAGAAATGATAAACTTTCTCCGTTATTTCTTTGTTTTTTTCTCGAGGAACTTCTTTTAAAAAGACTTTTATGTGGTGGACTCAATTTTAAAGTTGCCTTAGCTAATAGAGATCACATCTTGAAGTAAACTTTTATTGGTGGATTTGCCGTTACTTTTAATTATTTATCAGCTTTCACCATTACAATTTTGTATTAAAAGACAATCATGGATGAGGCGAAATAGGACTTCGGAAAACACTATGTATCTTTATAGAAATGATGAATGGTGGAGTGAGTGCGGTGTTCGATCCTTTTAAAAAGATAGTTTCTACTCATAGTAAGTTGTTTTCAACGATCCGGATTTCGAGCTTATAGCTCATCATCAGGCTGAAGGAGTTCTCTCTACCACGTCTCTCGACATGAATTGTAGAAGCAAACCCGCCGATTGTCTACTAATTATTGTATTTAATTAATTTATTTATTTATTTACGGATCGAAATCCACTATAAAAAGACATTTTACAATAACAAAAAATAAAAATAACATACGAAATAATATATGCAAAATATACCAATAATACATACAAAAAGAATAGGGACATGGTAATATTATAAATGGTAAATATAAATGATAAATATAAAAATACATTTAAAGAGTAAAAACTGAACAACTGAACAAAAATGAAAGACATAATTATTAACCAAATTAAGGGAAAGGAAATAAAATAAAGCTGAAACACAATTGAAACTACACTATTTTGGTACATATGTAATGAAAATAATGCTCTTTGTAGATATATAATAAGAGTAGAGTGCAAGATTTAGGTAAACCAGTAAATAAAATAAATTGTAATAAACTTTTAACAGAATGAAATATAAATTCAATTAGAGTAGGATATGGTTTTTCACAGATTGCACGGAACTAATGAAGAAGCACAGTGCTATTGCAGACTACTTTTGATCATCGGTGTAGAGGAGAAGAGAGCTTGTAGATAGAGCTTTGGGATTCAATATAAAATAATGTTTTATGTATATTATGCCTACTATCTAATTATTGTACATTCAAATTTTAGGAAATGAAAGGGTTTCCAATGGGGTTTCCATCTCACTTTGTGCCGAAATATTCATGGATAATTTCGAAAAAAATCTTTTCAAATCAAACAGCAAATTAATTAAATCATTACAATTAATTAAGGTTTTTAGTTGAGATAAAAAAGTCAATGGCACGAGCGGGATTCGAACCCACGATCTTCGGCTAGATACGCCGCTGCTCTACTACTTGAGCTATCGTGACCTCGATCCAATCGGACACTAACTTCCCATCTCAACCCCACCTTTTGAATTTTCCCTCCTTTTTGCCATTTTTCACGAAATTAGAGAATTTAATTAAATCAGTTAGACGATATTTTATACATATGGTCAGGAAAATTGTGAACACCACCATACATCTATGAACTATCAGAAAAAGTTAGAAAATTCTTAAACAAGGAGGTTTTAGAATAGCTTTTAGAAGTACGTGTCCACTTAGAAACATCCTCTCAAAACATGAAGACAAGGTAGAAAACTTGTGCAAAAAGCGGGGTTTATCAACTTAATTGTAATGATTGCGACATTAAATACATAGGACAAAGCGGTAGAGAAATAAAAAAAGATAGTTAGAGAACACTTGCCTAAATCGAACAAATTTTCGGAATTTAAGGGCCATCTAAAAGAAAGAAAACATAATTTCAATTCAAATTTAAAAGTTTCAACAAAGGGAGAGAAATTTGAAATTAAAAAATGTAAAATTGAACATGGGGATAAATGCATTAATAATATAATAGATTTTGATCTACCTCCTATTTTAAATATAATATTAGACGTCCGTATTATTTTTTTATTAATTTTATCATTAATTTACTAATGTATTATTAAGGTATTATTTTAATTTAATTTTTATCTTTTATTTTTAATCACTAATTTATAATTAATTTTTTATTAATATAATATCTATTAATATAATATTTACTTGTGTTATAATTCCCGCTTTTCGCACGTTCAAAATTGAGCGGCATTAAAAACCAGCTTCTCATTGGAACGTCGTGTTGGCGGGGGCATCGGCGGGTTCACTTTTGCAGTTCATGTCGAGAGACTTGATTGTAGAACTCCTTGAACCTGATGGTGAGCTAAAAGCTCTAAATCCGGATCGTTGAAAACAACTTACTGTAAGTAGGAACTATCTTTTTAAAAGGATTTTACTACGTATCTTTTTATAACCTATTTTTGAAAGTTTCAACATAAAACTATTATTATTACGACTTCTGATCTTTTTTTTTAAAAAAACCACAACTATGTTTTAAAGGGTTTTCGTGAGCAAAGCATTTGTACTCTAACTTCTTGATTTATCTCCATCGTTTTTGTCCTTTGACTTGTCGAGGTGTGCTATTTGTTGCGAAAGCGATTATAACTTGTAGTTTATGACAGCAATTAGTCGTATTTGGGAAATGTATAGAGTGAGTAAGTGTCGATGTTCTATACGTATGCCAATGTACCACGCTTCCAATTC